GAGAATGGTGTAGATAGCTTCCAGGGTGGCCGCCAGATGGTTCATTTCAGGAGGAATGGGTGTCTAAAGACCAGAAGACCCCTGACTAAACCCTGAAGAAGTAACACAGCCCGGTCACTATCTGTGCGCTCAGGGAAAAGGTCACCGTCCTGACTCCTGTACCTCAGTGTGGAGCACAAAGGACAGCATGGGGATCACATGTACCTTGTCATTAGAAAGCATTATGAGGAAGTTCTCATTTGAATATTAGTGTTCTAAGGAAAAAAGATTGAGAATAAACACTTCTTTGGGCTTTTCCCCAAGCAATACAATGACAAGTGACGATACTTTCAAGTTTAACTCAGTATGTGTACATACTTAACATGCCAGAAGCTGCTTCCTAATAAAAATTAAAATATGAACTACTTAAAATATATCTAAGAACAAATGTAAAGTTATCCCCTAAATGGTTAAAAGAGGAATTTACGATCCAAAGGTTGACACAGGTGCTCTGCATGGACACAGCGAGCAGAACATGCTATGTAACTGAAGGAACACCGAAGAGGACACCTCGCTCAGACAACAGCACACGCTCAACATTATACATTCATCCTTCAGTGCCAGACCCTCTAATAGGAAAAGGCATCATTTCTCTGTTCCCAGGATCTGGCATGTGGGAAGGTGAAGGACAATTTTTGCTGAATAAAAGAATGGAGCTAGTTCAAGTTTCAGGAAGAAATCCTGAAGATTATTAACAGAAGGTGTAAAGTAATCTCTCTGAGGAAGATTATAATAAATTGGGATTGGCAGATATAAGAACGGGATAACAACAATCAAATACACGAATTTGGAGATCATAAAATTGGCTAAAACTACTGTATGCGTAACACAGGATAGATATAAGCAAGAACTAAAGAGGCATACGAGCATTACCTAGTAGAATCAACCTTTGAGAAGTTACTAAATATCCAAAATGAGCATATTTCAAAACAACCTAAGTTTCCTTTACTCAAGATCATTTCTGAGCCATCCCAGTTACATGTCCACATTCTGCAGTACCTTTACGTGCCTTTCTTTGGTCAACCCTAGCACAGTGGTGGTCACCTCAAAGTCTTCCCCTCAGGGCTCTATGATATGTGGCTCCAGGTGGCTTCCTACTTGGGAAGACACTTCTCCTGGAAATGGGCACCTGCTCCCTTAGGAAGAGTTGTCCTCTGCTATGGAGTACCTGGGCCATGTTGTACCTGTGCTCTCTGTGTTGATAGGTAAGGATGGTCCTCAAGGTCTGTCTAGACCACTTTGAAACCACAAATGCTCAGTTCCTCAAGAGCAGTATGAAGCAGCTTCCTCTGCAAAGGACTGGACATCACAGAGAAGGATCCAGCAGGAGGGACCTCTCAGAGTCTCAGTTTCCTCACCTGGAAAGTAGGCAGGGGTGGCAATACTCAGCTCACAAGGCTGCTTGTGAGGTTTCCACATGACAGGATTTAAAGGCAGGCGCCTAGTGAGTTGATACATAAATCTGAAAAAACAACCCTGAAAGGCAAGCTTTGAAAAGTATGTTAGATGACAGAGCTTTTGCAAAAAGAGCAAAAGTTTTTCCCACATGTTAAAAAACATCATTTACCTATTGATTTATTTCAATTTATGTTGTATTAAAATGTAGAATATAGGGATAAAATTATGTTGTACAAAATTACGTTTTGCATATATATCCAAAATTACTCGTACAAAATTGTTTTGGCATATTTATCCATGCAGACATCTTTGTGTGTGTGTGTCTGTGTCTGTGTGTGTGTGTGTGTGTGTGTGTTTGCTTTTTCTCCCAAAAGTGGCATGTTGTGCAATCTGCTTTCCTCACTCATTCCCTGTCAAGAAACAGGCATCTATACTGTCATATTCAGTGACTACATGGTATTCCACCATATGGCTATACCATAAAATACTTAACTAATCCCCTAATGAAAGATATTGGAGTTGCTTGTAAATTTTTGCTTTTATAGTTAATAATGTGTTAAACACTCTTGAACGTGTTCTGAAACCCTGGCCATTTCTGCCTCTACTGCATGCTATATTTCATTCAGTGTTGCAGTCAGACACCCACTTATCACTGGCACCTTCTTCTGAGTCTTGCTTTAGCATCCCTTTCTTAATTTCTACAATAATAATTATTAATATGGAAGATTCTCAGATGCCACAGCAAAGTTTTTATTCCTGCCATGTATTTTAAGGCATTTCCCGTGACCTACTTTAAAATACTCTGAAAACATATGTTCAGATTTTCAGAAAATAAAACATTTTCACAGAAATTAGAAAAATACTAATAAAAGTAGTTCTTGATGTCTGTTCCTAACTCACAACCCTTGCCTAGAATTTTCGCCAGAATAGTCTTAATTCCTGAAAAGTTGCTTCTCACACGAAGCCTTTCCCAAATGAATGGAAAAGCTTCCCCTACTTTCATTCCACAATGCAGTCCCCAAGAGGTCCTGCTTAAGAACTACGCCATTCTTTTTGCCTATGCAGAATATAGTCTACATCCATTGTCTTTTGTTTTCTACTTCACTAATTGCTGTAATTATCTTTATTATTTTCTTCTTTCTTTGGACAAACTCAGTTCTTTTCTATTTTCCTGAGCTGTATATTTAACTTATCTATTTTCAACCCTTTCTTTTTTAAATAAATGCATCCAAGGCTTTACATCGATCTCAGATTAATGCCTTGGCTGCATCCCACAGTTTTCACAGGTGGTATTTTTGTCATTTCGTTCTAAACATTTCAGAATTTCCATGATGATTTCTTCTTTAACCCATGAGTTCCTCAGAAATCTTTTTTTAGTTTCCAAATGTATCCTTTTATCATTGGTTTCTAGTTTAGCTGCTCTGTAGTCAGGCAATGTGACCTGTTAAATGATTTTCTGAGCATTCTGAGAATCCTCAGATGATTTAGTACATGGTCAGACTTGCAGATGTGCTCACATGTCTTCAGCACAAATTCTGTAAGTTTTAAATCATGTTGAGTCAACTTCCTAAGTCTTCATCTCCTTTTTATCTGGCATAGTCTAATAGAAATGTGTTAAGAGCTCACATCAGAGTTGTGGATTTGCTAATTGCTCCATCAAATTCTGTCACATTTTGCTGTTACATGTATATGTCATGACTATTTTTATGCTCTTTATGGATTGTTCTTTTTAACTTTTGTTGTAACTTTCCTTATTCCTATTAATATGTAATTTGTTGTGAAGTCTACTTTTTCTGATGTAAACATTGCCATTCTACCTTTTTATTGGTTGGAATCTGCCTGAAATGTGCTTTCCCATGCCTTTATTTTCAACCTTTCTGAATCACTCTGAGTTACAGCTCTTTTTAAAAAAATCTAAACTAATGCTCTCTTTTAACAGGCATGGTCAACCCATTTAATTCTGTTGTGATGTCTACCCTCCTACCCTCTTATTTTGTGCTTTCTACCTACCATCCTCATTCTTTGCTTTTTCCCCATAGTCATCACCTTCCTGGTCTTCTCTTGGATAATAAAATGCTCTATTTCCATTTTTGATGTCTCTTGCTTTAGGTTATATGTCCAGATTGCAATGAAAAGCCTGTGAACACTATATGCAATGCATACCTTTAACGTGAGGGCAATACTCGGATAGCCCCCAGAGCCTGTGAGCATCACCGCTTTAAGGTGATTAGAAGGCAGTTAGCGGAGACCCAATTCATTTAACAAAGCAGGTAGAGAAGCAGATTTGTAGATGCTACTTTTGATCAAGGTAGGATAGTCTTTTCCAATGAATATACAGCAGCAGCACTTATATATGTTGAAAGTTTCCCTTCATTTTGGTGAATTCCAGGTGATATTTATGCACAGTCCTATCACAGAAATTATTTTTCTTCTAAAAATATATACATTTTATTGCTCTGCTCTCCCTGATTTTATTCAAGTGTACCCTCATATATGGAGCTTTATTGTAGGAGCTTTATTGTAGGAACTTTCCACTTTCAATTTAGAACTTGAAATTTGTCTTATCATTGTTTATAGCAAGAAAGGATTGGAAAGAATCCACATGTTCATCAAGGGAACAGCTAAGGCAAAGAACACATTAACACACTGGACTACTGGAATACATGCCCACAAAAAAATCTACACATAAAATGAATACATAGATTACACCGACATGAAAATGTTCAGTGAATAAGGCAGGGCACAAAATACCTCATGCATGATGCATGCTACTCTGTGCAAATATAGGAATGTGTCCTGCACGTACCCACGGAGCACCTTGGGAGTGAGAAAGTCTAAAAATTAGTTAATTTCCCCTTGAAGTAGCTTAAGTCTTTTTCTCTCTTATTTTCCTTCTTTCTTCTTTTTTGTCACTTTAGTCATGGTTATCGTGGTTGTCTTTTTTTTTTTTTTTTTTAAAGAAAACCTAACTTTCAGTTCCTAACATGGACTAAGCTTATTTCTCAAACTTTTAGGTTAACACAAATCAGATCACTGTGGTAAGTTCACATTTCACTACATCAATGTGTGACTGATTTCATTTCCTGGCAGTGATATACATTTGGGGAAAAAAAAAAAAAGTCTAACTGAAATTCAATTTAAATGCAAAGTCTAATGCCCATCTGAAATGTGGGGTGCTTTTCATTATTTTATTCTTAACCAATGATTCAGAAACAGGAAGGGGAATTTCTACCTAAAAAGTTAGTGTGTTCCCTTTTGTCACAAAAATGCATTTGTCCTACTTAGATGGTTCTATTTCCTTTGCCAGGGCTTGCCAAAACCACCAAATTGTGAGAGTAAAGAAATAAATTCATTCTCTGTTCTTCCAAACTGTTATCATATGAAGCCATATTATGTGTCATAGATTTTTTTGAAATTACATAAATCTTAATATTTAAAAAAACTATATATATAAAAAATGCTGTGAGCTAAATACATATATATATATATATATTTAAACTGATGAGCAATCAAACTGGGTGAATATGCTTTCAATTAAATGACCCTTCTTGTTTTTTTTCTAGAGACCTTGGTCCCCACCAATGGATATAAAAATGGCTGACAATTTTACTATACCCTCTACAGCTCCTCAGGGAAATGACTGTGACCTCTATGCTCACCAAGACACAGCCAGAATATTAATGCCTCTTCATTACTGCCTTGTCTTCATCATTGGGCTTGTGGGAAACTTGTTGGCCTTAGTCGTCATTGTTCAAAACAGAAAAAAAATCAACTCTACCACCCTCTATTCAACAAATTTGGTGATTTCTGATATACTTTTTACCACAGCATTGCCCACGCGAATAGCCTACTATGCACTGGGCTTTGACTGGAAAATTGGCGATGCTTTGTGTAGGATGACTGCTCTTGTGTTTTATATCAACACATATGCAGGTGTTAACTTTATGACCTGCCTGAGCATTGACCGCTTCTTTGCTGTGGTACACCCTCTACGTTACAACAAGATGAAAAGGATTGAACATGCGAAAGGTGTGTGCATATTTGTCTGGATTCTAGTATTTGCTCAAACACTCCCACTCCTCATAAACCCTATGTCAAAGCAGGAGCCTGAAAGGATTACATGCATGGAGTATCCAAACTTTGAAGGAACAACGTCTCTACCCTGGATTCTGCTTGGTGCGTGTTTCATAGGCTACGTGCTTCCACTTACAATCATTCTCATCTGCTACTCTCAAATCTGCTGCAAACTCTTTAAAACTGCCAAACAAAACCCGCTAGCTGAGAAATCTGGTGTAAACAAAAAGGCTCTCAACACAATTATTTTTATCATTGTTGTGTTTGTTCTCTGTTTCACACCTTACCATGTTGCAATTATTCAACACATGATTAAGAAGCTTTGTTTTCCTGATCTCCTGGAATGTAGCCAAAGACATTCATTCCAGATTTCTCTGCACTTTACAGTATGCCTGATGAACTTCAATTGCTGCATGGACCCTTTTATATATTTCTTTGCATGTAAAGGGTATAAGAGAAAGGTTATGAAGATGCTGAAACGACAAGTCAGTGTATCCATTTCCAGTGCTGTGAGGTCAGCCCCTGAAGAAAATTCACGTGAAATGACGGAAACGCAGTTGATGATACATTCCAAGTCTTTAAATGGAAAGTAAAAAGGAATACATTTTGCATTTACAGCAAAGTAAACTGTATGAAAAAGCTTGCAGGGCTTTTCTTATAAAGCAAAATGATCAACTTCCAATTAGGATTCTTTTAAATTCCTTTCATTGGGCAATTTTTCCCATCTTGGAAGTAAAGTCAAAGAAAGCAAAGTTCTATTGGTAAATGAACCAAAGGGAGGCTGTCTTCATAATGCTCAATGTGAAGGGGAAAGGTTTGTTTTTTTAAAGAAGTAATCATTAATGATTCCTGCCAATAACTTGGAAAAAGAAAAAAGACTAAATAGGTTGTATATAGCCAGTGTAAAAATGTGAATATCGTAACATTTATTTTTTGGTAACATATTTCTGAAGTCCCCGTTTCTTCCAATCTTAAATTTTATCCTCTCAATAACACCAGTCTTTTGTTTTGTTTTGTTCTGAGTCATAAAACTGTTTCAAAGAACTCTTTTGGAATAAAGAACAGGATGCTACAAAAGTGTGAGTATGTCCCTCATTGCTCACTATCAACTGTCAGCAGAGATACAGGGAAAACACAATTAGCAACAGATAGACCTGAACAGCAACATTATAAATGATGGTGAAGACTGGGGCAATGAAAGCAATCAGCTTCTCCCCAAATATCCAACATAGTCTTTCAGGGCCTGTTTAGGAATATGACAAGAATTTTACATGGAGGCACCCATGGGGAGGGAGTCTACTTGCTAAATTCTTCTGAGGAATAAAAAATATGCATATATGCTTGGTTTTCTTTGGGTCTCTAAGAGATCATTTCTCTTTTTTTCTCCAAGTTGATAGTACCTTGTATCTGTTGTTTAATCAGTTTAAGTTACCAGAAAGTATGTGTGTGGTGGTGGTGGTGGGGATTGGTATGGTAAGCAGTAAAAGATATAGTTGCTCCTTGTCTAAATAAGATAAGGAGTAAAATACAAAATTATAAACTTAATAGTTTCCAAGATTCATTACAACATTATATACTTGCTCAAATGCCTTAGTATGTGTGGCATAACGTGTGCAAGTAAGTACTCAATCTGTCTGTCAGTTCAAATTTGTTTTACCCCCGAAACTACTCCAAGACAATAACTATCTCTGTTGGCAATGATACCAATTTTGTTAACAGGAGGTAAAATTTAAAAAAAGAAAATGCTAAATCCAGAGTCACATTTTAAGTTTGTATTGGACTTTACACTCTGGAAATAATATTCCTTAAATTCTTATCTTACTCATTTTCAACTTTTACTCTGAAAGAAAATTTATATTGATTGTTGATTCAACACCATTTATTAATACTTTCAGATCTGCATAAAATTAATTTCACAAAGAGCCACCTGACCTCAAAGCCACTGTTGAAAACAGGCCCTGGTTTTTGTAACACCTTACGGAGACAGATGAAGCCACATGGATGGAAGTCAGGATCTTAGCACCTGTCCACTCCACCTGTAAACTTTCCCCAAAGAAGGAAAAGAAAGGGCTAAAAGCTGAATTTTATGCAAGGTGGCACTGGCTTGTCATTTGAGTTGAATCTCTAAAGAAAAACCATTGAGAAGGCAACTGATGGAAACCGGGAGCAGAGTTTCCCGAGCGCCAGAGTCTGTGGTGCGCTGGCTCAGTAATGACAATGGAGCGTAGGCTCTCCATGGAACGGATGAGCCAGCTGCCGCCTCAGAATAGACGACAGTCCTCTCTGGGCCAACAGCCAATTCTTCGGATCCTTCAAACAAGAAAGTAAATACCTATGGCATCTGACAAAGGAATAACATTCACTTCTCTGTTCCCATTTCTGCCTCCTCCCTCCACTGTACTACAAATCTACATAGTGATTTTATCCACTCGGTGGCCATACTGTCAAAAAGGTAAGCTCGAATCCTACCCCAACTCATGTTTTTTCTAAAGTCTACACTCCAGTCAAATTGAGCTAATCACTCTCCTTCCAAGGCTCTTGCTGTCCATTCTGATCACTAAGCAGTGTCCACACATGGCCACAGGCGCCCTCCCGCTGTCTTGTGATTAGTTAGCTGCACATTATTTCTGGGGGAGAACAGGGCAATGCTGTGTAATTTTCATATTCTGCCACAGAACAAAGAAGGTGACCCTATATATAACACATTGCTTGAAAATCACAACACTATAAGTATTTTATATATAAATTATGTGATGAATGACTAACATTTGTTAATAATAACTCAGAGCCAGAAAAGTTCATCTAGGAAAATGAACAGTTATGATGGCAGCTGATTATAATTGCTTCTTCCTTGTTTTATTTTGATGTCTAACAGGACCATCTGGCTAATTAAAAAAAAAACCTTCAGAGCTATTTAGTAAACAGCTCTGACTATTCAGTGATAATGCACTGACTATTCAGTGTAAATGCACTGACTATTCAGTGATAGCACAGAATCTATATAATATAGAATAGTAAACATCAGCTGTTATTAGTAGAGCTTAATAACTTACAATTGCAAAATTATGCAATGTCTTCCTTTTGACAAGCCTGTGAACCAGGATGAGCAGACAGTACTGCCCATATTTTATAAAGAAACCTTAGTTCAGAAAAAGCAGCTGGTAAATTAAAAGCAGCATCAGGAATGTAACCCCAGTTCCACATCCCAGCCATAAAGAAGATAGAACTGAATGATGTGAACACTGAGAAAGCATTAGAAGGCTTAAATGCTGCATTATTTGCCAGCAGACCACCTAGCCCATTACTAGGACAAATAACCCAACAATAGGCAGATTACAAACTTGGTGAGGCTATAAACTCCATGAGGACAAGGACCTGTCCCTCCATGTCTGCATGGCATAGAAGGTTCTCAAATATTCATTTACTTGAATTCTCATGTTTTGTACTATTACCAACAAAATTCTAAAGCCCTATTGAAATACTTGTGAAGTTCTTAATTCTCAGTGAAATGAAAATAAATACCCTAAATGTTTAATAGCATATGCTATATACCCAGCTTCATGGGTAAATGAAGACAGTTGCACAGTGTAGAGCATATGCCCTTGAAGACCCTGTCATTTAGACTAGACATATTAAAAGAGAGATCTAATGACACAACAAGCCAATTTAAAATTAGATACAGAAATCATTTTCTACTTCAAGAGCAAGAACAGTGGCTCCTACCAATGCGTACAAAGGGGCATGCAATTTTCAAAAGGAAAACACTGCTCTTAAATTAGCCCTTAAAACAGTCTACTTTGGTCACTGTTCAGCCCCTTGTAATTTGTTATTCTCTGCAAAGCTAAAAATAGTTGCTCATTGACAACTGGGGTGAAGAATCAGAAAATAAAAAGCACGAGGGTTAGAAGTGATCTGGCGACAAGGCTCAGGCCTTTGAACCCTGTGAGGACCACACGAATAGTACTCATCAGCACTTGCTGCCAATGGGGGTTGGACATTAAACTCAGAAAAATGGATTGCTTACATGATGACCCCAAATTTCTATTCACTTAAAACCTTAAGAGCTAATCATGAACGTTAGTGATTATCTCCTACACAACACTTTCCAGGCACTGCACAGGCATTCCCTCATCTAATCCCAGAACCTAAAGAGATGGGGCAATATCATCCCCATTGTGCTGATGGAGAAACTAGAGCTCCAAGACCCATGGACGGGAGAGCTGGAATTTAAGCCTAAACCATCCAACCATGGCCCGTGGCCTGCACGAAGCATTCAGGGCCACCCCTTACTGAAACTTGCCAGGTAAGAGGCAGATGCTCCCTTTCCTGTGGCCTCCAGAGCCTTGGACACCTCCCCTAACCCACATCTGAATTCAGCCAGTCATCCTTCCCCTCAGGGCACCCCAATTTCTCTGCAAACTCCACCCGCATTCTGCATCACCCCCACCTGACCACAGAACTTAGATGGTGGACACAGTCTTGCTTGGGCTTCTCTTCCTGTATGCCCTCTTGCCCGGCTTTCCTTCACCCAGTATCATCATCCTAGTCTAGATGGTAGCCACTGGGCCCCTAAATTACAACCTCTGTCCCTCGGGGCCCCTCAGCTAGAGTCAGGGAACCTTTAGCCTTCCTTTAGGATACTGTAGTAGAAGCCAGCACATTAAATTAAGAATAATAACTATGATAAATACTTGCTAACAATTATGTAGCATGGTGCTTTAAACACTTTGCATATATAAGCTCCCTCAAATCTCACAATAATCCTATGAGATTCGTTATATTTATTATCTCCATTTTGAATGAAAGATGAAACTATGCTCCAGAGAGGTTGAATAATTTGCCCAAGGTCACACAGCTAGTAAGTTGGAGAGCTAGGTCATATACTCTGGAGGTCTGGCTCTGGATCAATACTCTCATTACTCTATTTTCTCCCTCAAACAAGTAAAATCACATGTTCTGTATCCTCAAAAGCCTTGAGACACTGCTCACCAAATACCCTCACGTTTCCTGGTGGGGCAGGGGAACACTGGGTTGGAGAGAAAAATGACATAAGTCATTTCCAGGCTAAAGTGTGACAGAGCAGCTCTCTGCGGCCACAGCAATCCACGATGTACTGGCTGGAGACACATTCGTTTGTCAGCCTGGGTCCCTGAATGAGCAAGTGAGAACTCACACCCATGCCCCACCCACCTGTGATGGAGGAGAGCTGCACAAGAGAAACACCCTCTGTTGGAACTCATTGTGACTGCAGGGCTAATTCGTGGGTGCCACATAAGCTACCCTATTCTGATTAATACAGTGTTTAACCTACTTGGAATGAAAATACCAACACACAGAGTGTAAGAAAAGAAAAATGCAGACACCGTCGAGCTCTCTTGACAAAAAACCGTAATCTTCCTTAATCCCACTTTCATTGTGTCATTTCACACTGAAGGATTGAGAATAGTTCCCCATGATCTACCACATCAAGTCCAAGTTCCTCTCCCACACTTTCAAGTCCCTCTGATCTAATTTTCCTTTGTTGCTCAATATGTACCTTTCAAATTGATTTTGTCTCTGTCCCAAGGATAGAATAAATATTTGGTTCTCACTGGCCGATGATTCTGCTTCCTCTCCCTATTATTTATACTTACATCCAAAACATACCTTCTCCTTTTCTTTGAATACTCAAAGCCACCCATCTTCCTTTCCTCAATGCATTTGACTTTTACAGTCTATGTCACATAGCTGTAACCTAGACATATT